TATAAGGCTGGAATAATGCCGATGTGACGTAAATCTCAACTCAGCTAAACTACTATTTTTAGGTAATAATTTGTTTGATATGATAGTAGGAACGGAAATTCAATGCAGAATGTGAATCCATGTGTTTATTAAAATGGATGTTATGTTGGACAAGGTAATCACGATTGCTGTTTACATATCCACGTTTCCATGGAAACCCGGTAATACTCGTTTTACCCATTGACGTATATAGTTACGTAATAACACGATGATCAGATAAATACAAACCGATCACTTTGTTGCCATGGTAACCCTTTTCAAAACCTCATTACATCATCCAAGCATCCATCGATTGATAATTGAAAGACAGGTGTTTCATTTAGTATGTGTGAATATATAAAACAGCATCAGGGCCATTCGGATAGCAAGTACAGCCCCAAACACGAATAACGTGCCCTTGAAGAGACGTTTTCATGTGTGAATATATAAAACAGCATCAGGGCCATTCGGATAGCAAGTACAGCCCCAAACACGAATAATGTGCCCTTGAAGATGTATCTATATCCCTACTCAATCATATGTGACGAGGGTAAGCTAATTAACACCCCAGGTATTCAATTGTACCGCGCTACTGGATAGTGAAATGAACACCCGACTGTTAATATTTCATGAAATGTGCAAATGAAGTATAAATGAGATAAATCTAATATACTCCGTACCCAAAGCCTTTGTCTAGTCAAGATATCTTATCACGACTAACTGATCTGTTCGTGACGATGCTGACAATGTTGACGATGTTGACACGGCGACAGATTGTGTAATGTTTGGTTTCGTTTAAACAAGTAACGGTAGGACGATTTTATTATTACGTTAAAACAATATATCGCGTTTTAAAATGACATATCTAATGAACATGTCATTTAATGGATCAATATCTTATCCAGTAAATGCTCAGGTTTACCTCTGAGAAACGTTTAGTAAACATATTTACGATTAATTTACCCACGATTAACCTTCTAGTCACAAAATCCAATTTAAACATAAAACCGATATAAATGTATTTAAATAAGATAAATCCGATATCAGTTTCCAATACACAGAATTCTGTAAAGATATGTCATAGCTACAAATGGCTGATGCGGGATTAAGCAATATTCACTCGGAGTTAAACATATATGCTTTGCTTATGCGGGGCGGTGGGGTAGCCAATGGTTATTGAAAGACCCGGGTTCGAATCCCCACATGTGTAGGTTCCCCGCCGTGATGTTGCTGGAATATTGCTAAAAGCGTAAAACCAAACTCAGTCAGTCAGTCAGTTTTGCTTATGCTTACCAGTGCATGAACACTGTAGGTTCAAGCTGATATATTCAAAGCTTACCCAAGTGCAAACTGTATTTACTGATGAGTAATACTGGCAATGGGTCATGTACTATATTCTTTTCACAGTCGACAGTTCACGAAATTGTGTATCAAGTACTTTATGAAATGAGTTAAACCATCTCTCTGGTTCTCCATCTGTCGGTTGTAGTTCTTACAGACCTTCTGTCAATACAAACCCAGAGCCTTGCCCACACTCTCATATTGTCATTCACTGGGCTGAACATGCAACTAAATGTTGAACATACATCTCCCATGAACCTGAACAGTCAGCAAAGATTATGCCCTTCTTTGCAGTGGTACAAGAATTGACTCTCGTCCCGGCTGGGCGGTGATCATCGAGACGTAGACGTTTATTATACATATGGAATACGCTACACTATAATTACAGCAGCCGTGTTGTCATATTAACATTCCACACTGGAAGCCCATCACAGATGTTTACGGTCTCCATGGCTGTGCAGATTGCGTCTCCCTACGACGGGCGCGCTTTTTGTGTCATCAGCCCCGAACGAGCATTGTTGTTGAATTTGTTATTCTCTGTGTCATTGTATGTGAGTTTACAGATGGTTAAAGTGTTCAACGTCAATAGATGACGCATTACGTATGTGATGCCCTTCCAGCGTAAGGTTAATACCCCGATGTTGTAAATATGTATGGAAAATTGTCGTATTATATTGAACATACATGTAGTTGATAAGTAGTTTTCTATGTCGTTTCTAGAAGTTGCCAACAATTTTTTCTAGTTTCTCGTAACATAGGTCCCTAGCAACGCATGTTTCTTACAAGAGGTGATCTGTGATCCGGTTATGTGGCTTGGTTACCATGGTTACATGTCATTGTGACTCATATTCGTGACTGGATGCTCTTAGCATCAACCTTTCGTTCTCTGACCCTGGCTCAGTTATTTAACATATTATTGTGATGTAGCTTGCAAACTACAGCGTGCCTAATTACATGCGGCGAATTATATCGACTTCAGCAGGGCAATTATTTACATCAGAGTTGCATATTTTAACGTCCAATATGTTTCGGTCCATTATGTCGACATGTGCTGTCCTCATCATCAGTGCCGAATTACCGGAACAGTACCGAGTATTGATACTTGAGGATATACTTTCAGATCTGGGATTACAGCTGATTGTAACACTGGAAGGGAATTACTGCCAATAGAATTCCCTATGATTATGTACTCAGGGTCGTGTCATAAATCAGATGAAACCTTAAATCAGCCATCTTTCATTAACATGACCGGAGACCAGCAAGATAGATTTTGATGATCGCTAATTGCGATGGTGGAAATAGGAAATAATCCGACACGTGTCGAACCAAACTCCCGCTCAAAATATGCCAATATGCCATACAATAAGTGTGTATTATTCCGGTTTTCTATCACCGATGCGCACGCGCTCCTACCCCTAATTGCATTCCATAGATCAATGCGAATGTGACACGATCTGAAGGTTGTCTATCAATAACAGCTTTCTGCAGGAACACCACACTTAGGCTTTTGTATTCTACGACATCCATAGACATTTTTTTCGACTAGTTGTCTTGATAATTTATATGAACCGGTCACCGTTCAAATCGTTTTGGTCTTCGACCAGCTGGCGAATATCGTCTGCTTTCTCCGCGTGCCAAAGAGAAAAGCAGACGGCAAATATGCATAGCTTTTTGACCTTGAAAAGTATATACGTCCGCGCGGTATCGTATTTGACCAGTGGTCATTAGCAGGTTGATCATGTTTGTCCCCTAATCTCTCAATACTGTCCAGTATAAATTTACCTGGGAGAAAGGAAATGATTTTCTCTTTGTATGTAATGCTCACGTTTAGCAGATGGCTCCAAGGATTGATGTCGGGTTTAAGTATGTTTGCCATGTACAATGGGTAAATTTGTTCTGATCTTGTGTATATGGTTAACGAATTGATATTATACAGTGTTGGTTTATTATTTAAAGCGACAACTGTTCTAATGATATTTGATAGTACGTCTGCTCAGAAAGAGGAAGGTCGATGGTTCGATCCCGAAAGGGTCATGGTAAAGACATGTTAAGAATGAGTGAGTGAGTATGGTTTTTACGCCGCTTGTAGCAATATCCCAGCAATATCACGGCGGTGGACACTAGAAATGGGCTTCACACATTGTACCCATGTGGGGAATCGAACCTGGGTCTTCAACGTGGCGAGCGGACGCTTTAACCACTAGGCTACCCCACCTAGTAAGAGATAAGACTTGTTATCCTGCCTGGCGGCAAAGTGGGTCAAAACAAGGAGTGTGGATTCGGAGTGTGGATTCGGAGTCTGTATATAGTGACGACTGATCGGGGAATCCATATTAAAATTCACTCGTTAATGCATCCAAAACACTAACACCTAAACATCGTCATGAACAATCGGGGCGGTGGAGTAGCCTAGTGGTTAAAGCGTTGGCTCGTCACGCCGAAGACCCGGGTTCGAATCCCCACATGGGTACGATGTGTGAATCCCATCTCTGGTGTCCCCCGCCATGATGTTGCTGGAATACTGCTAAAAGCGGCGTAAAACCAAACTCAGTCAGTCAGTCAGTCATGAACAATCATGTGACTGTGGCTGAAACCAATTCCCAACCAGTAATGATTCAACAAATCCGAACCTACAAAAATAGGCCTCCTCTCCCAGAGCGATCGTAGCAGGCAATCATAAGTCTGCCACTCTATCCGAGACTTACAATAATCGTAACTCTAAGATCCCTCAAAGCGATCGTACAGCTACAACTGTCTTAAGTTTGTGTTAAAGTATGGGAGTTACGACCGCCTCAGCGCTACGCTCGCTTTGTAGAACGGCGCCTAGGACTTTCCTTACAGCGATCTCGTTTACAGAGACTTGATAGTTACCTGTGACGCACATGCTACGCATAGCACATGCATTGTCCGCTTGGCAATCGTAAGTCTCCCACTCTATCACAGGCATACGGTAATCGTAACTATAAGAACGTTTTCCGACAAGGGTCCTGGACTTTCCTTACAGCAATCTCGTTTAATGAGACTTGATAGTTACCCGAGACACACATGCTACCAGATCGTGCATTGTTGAGATCACCACAACCCAAGACATCCAGGAGACTGTGTCCACGAGCCAGATCTTCCGCCAGGCGCACGCGACCTTTCAGATAGCGCTTCTAATGTTTCCATGTTTCTGCCTCGACTATTGTCTTGGGCTGTTTCCAGCCATTTCACCTGTCTACCACCTGTTATCCAGCACCACAGATCACCTTACTAAGTACCTTCACTAATTACGCGACACGCGACAATCGCCATTCTTTTTAAGTCACGTGATACTCAACGAGATTTCTTGGCAGGAAAAGAGAGTTCAATATGCACCACGGTTACCTCCCCTTGATATAACCCAAACTCTCCCAAAGACGTTTTTCGGGTGTTCTGTGATGTAGGTTTCTTTTCTAACAGGAACCAAATGTCATAGATTGACGTTTAGTTTGGATTAATTGCTTCAGTCGCAAGTGTGCTTCAGCTGGAGGTGCGACGATGAATATTCCTCAGGTAGATGCCATGATAAGCCCGTTTCATGAAACATTACCATGGCTGTGTCACTATGATATTATATTTTGACGGAACATTTAATTTATTTTTCTTTTGTTTTATTGCAGTATTCTTTGATGCTTACCATTGGATTATCTGCAGTGGAACCATCACTCGACTAGACGCAACCACTGACATTTGGTAAGTGTGACGACACAATTTGATTGGCGTTTAGAGGTTAGATTACGAAAACATGAAACACTTTGGTTAAAAATGCCCAGATAATGAAAATCCAACCGTTCTTCTTTAACCAGCGTGATTGCAGATATTGACGTTTCTTATTATATAGGTATTCATATAGCGGTCTAGTCCATCCCATCTACATCCATGCCCAAAGCGCTTTTGACCTTAGGTATACAACACTCTGATCGGAGAGGTCAATACCATGCCAATGGACTGTTCAGTATCCGTCGAGGTGGAGTCTCTTTAATAGTTACCATGTTTGTAACCAAACCAAGGACTTCTCAACACTTGGTTGTAGTCACATTTAGCTTGAAAACGGTGAATCTACACCGAAACGTTGATCAATGCAAGCTAAAAGAAAATCAACACCGAAACGTTGATCAATGCAAGCAACAAGAAAATCAACACCGAAACGTCGCTCTATGCAATATATAAGAAGCTGTTATCCATAAGTCGTATGCTATATTATTGACTCACCAATTTATATAATGCCGATAACACACTTAACTTCAAGGACTGGGTTATTAGGGTAACTGTTAGAAAATAACATTTTTGTTTAGAGGTACCATTTCAGGAAAAGCCTTTGATAATGTTCCTTGACTTTGAATCAAACTTGAAAAGGTGACCAAATCCCGTATTCCTCGTCTACCTTTATATTCACACATTCGTTGACAAAACGTGATGACTGAATAATACGTATCAGGGTGAAATTTTTTCGAGTTTTATTACCCTAAGGGCACAGCCATTGTCATCGTGTGGTGTCCCATACTATATTAAATTATTCGATCAAAATAACGTAGACATGTAAACGGTCATTCTTAGACATCAGGGTCCCTATTGCTGGCTTGGTTGATCACTGTCATCGGTTCAGACTCGATTGCAGAGGTCGATGCCGAGTGCATGCTGTTGATCACTGGATTGTCTTAGTCATCAGGACTCGATTATTCGGCCACATCTTTGTTTACAATCAACCTGCGGCGTAAATTGAACTCAAATCATCATCTCTTAGACATCAGGACACGACCAGCTCTTGTCGGCCACATCTTTGTTTACAATCGACCTAAATGATCATACCAATTGGAACTGGACACCTGAAAGGTCAATAACCGTTTGTATGAATACATTAATTCTAATCTTGTAGATCGGCTACATAAAGTTGCAATTGGAGAATCTCTCATTTTCGTTTACATTGTATTTCATTGATGCCCACTTCTCCATAAAAATTATCAGCGGGGAGAGACTTGATGACCCGTTAAATGGCCAATAAAATTATATATTCAGACTGGTGAAGTGTTGACAATAAACCGAATCTCTGAACTTTATTTTCCACTCCTACAATTTGCATTAACATGAACGGACACAAACTATACACAGTACCTACAGTAGCGAGGCGTGCTCGACAATGGACAGTTTAATGACTTAGAAATTACCCCCATGGACAACTGACACCTCTGTACATGTTCCAGTCCTATGATTTGCATACATATGAACCAAAACAATCTATATACTGTATCTACACAACTGTAGCAAAGACCTGTGAAGGTTTTCCGAACCAAATGCTCAGTTTAATGACGTAGAAACTGCCCCATGGACAAGGGACCATCCTTTACATTAAACGACCAGGAGGAGTAGAGTTTCCATGTTATTGTTAATGTTCCACAAACTCAAAGGCCCGCCTCTGCCACGGGTTATTCGTTATACTGATGTCCATTCGCTTGGACAGTAGTCAGGCATGATTTATGAGCCAATGGCGACAATATGCGCCACGTCCATGACAGGTAAATCATCGCTTTAGGTCCGTGGATTACAAGCCAGCGATGACCAGGGGTGAGTTTAGGGTCATTCCCGTCGTTTTATTGAAACCTGAACTATATAATTCCAACAGAAGAGGATAGACCTGCATTTCTAAGGAATGTATATTTCACAGACCATCAACCGTTTGAAGATTCTGTTTTCAAAGTGGAGATAGCAAATCTCCTTGTCTGACTCCTGTGCATGTTCGTTGAAGCAAGAGCATGTACAAAATATTGTATGGCAACTGTTGCTTACGGTTCGGATAATGTAAATATGTTGGGACAATGGCATACGTGTTGACCAGAGGTCGTCTTGGGGTGACCATGTAGACATGAATGACTTGTATCTATCATAGATCAGATTCCTATGGCAAATAACAAAAGTGGTTTTCATCCGGAGCAAAGGTCATATTTATAGCAAATGAATAGGCAGTGATAAGGTATGGTGGAAGTCTTTGTTGAAACCTGTTGTACGTCACATGTGGAAATAATAAGTGCCACCTTGTGGCTATCTAGTCCATGCTTGAAAACTATAACCGGTTTACATCCTGGTCCAACATATGGCAAATGTCTACTGCTACTGCACTCGTTGTTGTAGCATCAAGCATTATTCTCTAAAGTGAGTGAGTGAGGCAGGGTTGTGGCCGATATGGACTAGTGATCAATTTGGGTTTCTGTGTGTAAAGTGGCAATGTTATCCTTATAACACTGACAGACGTTTCACCAGTGATGTGTTCTATTAAAAAATATTACTTTTCGCACCATATCACACCACAACCCCTATTTCAGTCTTGCAAACCTTCAACATTCACCACCAGCCTGTGAGTGTTTCTGAAAACTAAATTATACTTGCGAAGCTCTTGCACTTGAAAAGGACATGTTCATCTAACCGGACAATGAAAACATTAACCAAATTTACTCATCCAGTTCTGCTTATAATTCTTTATGCATCATAACGTTTTGCCAAACGCTCTGCAACATGAGAGCCAGGTGACAAGCCAGTCTTTATCCAACTCACCGGACATATCGTTTACAGCAATAAACTTGGTCCTTGAACACGGGTAGTGATAATATTGTAGCAGTGATCGCGCCTGTCTTTGAAGTATCGCGTTTCCCGACTCCTCTCGACACATCAATGCTATCTTGCAGATGGTCACTTGACTTTCCAGCTTCGAGTGGTCATGCATATTTATGAGCGTACACTACGTCTTTCTACCGGGCTGTAGACGGGGTATCAATACATCAATGTGTTTATTTAACGACTGTATTCCCTGTGTTTGTCGTGTTCATGTCCCATGTGTTTGCTACGTTTAGTGGGTGTACTGTGTACATACAGGGAAACGTGTGGCTATCGTTAGTCGTAACAGGTGTTCGTGGCGTGAGGGTCAGTTTCACAAGAGTCTTGACACTTGGTCATCGATAATGGTGACCAACAGGACTTAGATTGGCGTCTGTTGGGAGGAATGTGGACCACTGAGGTCATCTGATCATACTGAGTGCGTCTAGTTTTACGCCGCTCTTAGCAATATTCCAGCAATATCACGGCGGGGGACACCAGAAACGGGATTCACACATTGTACCCATGTCGGGAATCGAACCCGGGTCGTCGGCCTGACGAGCGAACGCTTAAACCACTAGGCTACCCCACCGCCCCTGATCATATTGAACATCTCTTGGTTCTGGATGTTTTCTCAATAATCTGTCATCTTATTACATAATGATCACAAACAGACCTTTAGTTTTAGTTCTTATGGTGTGGAATTGTGTTCGTTTGCTCATCAAGCATTAGGACCAGGTTCGAACCCATGTGTATGTTGAAATGGCTCCAAATGGCTAACAGAAGTTCAACTGTCGTAAATGCTTACTACGTGAATCGGTTGGACAACATGGCTTCTGTGAATGAACAATGTCAGCTCTTACCTGTTTGGCATCGATGATTTGTTTTTTGAATGAAATTTGCCCTGGAAGCGTGACTTGCTGCTCATGCTATTGCTCATTGGTTGTCCGATTTGATTTACTATATGTTTTATGAAAAACATACATGCTTACGCTTATTTACCTTACTCCAATGATTGACAAATGAGTTGGTTTATTGGTGAAAGTGGTCGCTCGTGGCCGCTCGTCAGGCCTATGCTTTGATTCCCCAAATGAAAATGTTCATGAACCCTATTTATGATGTCTCCCTGTCGCGATATCGGGGGCGTCGGAGTACCCTAGTGGTTAAAGCATTCGCTCGTCTAGCTGAAAGCCCGGGTTCCATTTCCCATGGGTACAATGTGTGAAACCCATTTTCGATGTCCCCCCGCCGCGATATTGCTGGAATATTGCAGAGTAAAATCAAACTCACCCAACAATCGCCACAAAACCATTTAACCTACTTACTGACGATCAAGATTGCGTAGACCAAGGATCATCATTGCGAAGCGAAAACACAAGATAATATCCTGAACGGGAACTTGAGTCAGCCTGTTGTACGAAGACCGATTCGGTTATCAATTGGCAAATCTGTATTGACATTTACAATTAATTTCCTGGCAAGTCAACATTGACGTTTAGTGGCTCCTAAGCGGGGAGATCACAGTGTTTATGACATCTAAACCGACCGGGCTTGCCACTTGTTAAACACGGGGATACCCTATCGCTGTTCGCAGTATTGATTGTAGCATTAGTCGTGTAAATTCAGTCCGGCTGACATATTGTGTTGATCGTAATCTAAGTAATGAGCAGAAACAACGTATTTCATTTAGTTTAAGTTATTAGTCGCTTGATGTACACTGTTATCATGAGTCGCAGCACACGGTGGTGTGTAATGCACGTGGGGAGTGCGTGCGTGCGCGCGTGTGCGTCCGTCCGCCTGTCTTTTGTCCTTGGCCTTAAAGATCCATCGATATAAACGAAATGTCGAAATAATTCAGGCTCGAGTTCGATATAATTATGGCTAACGTATGTTTACCATTGATGGTTACTTATTTTCCAAAATTGAAATTTTAAAAGTTGATTTATCGCATCAACACATAAATATATTTCATTTGGGTTATGATACCACGTTGCTTGAAGGGTGGAGATCATTAAAATGCTCTCGGAGATAGTTTCTAGCCTCGTTCAGTATTGGGTTTGCCTGATTTGGTGAAAACTTGATTTTCTGTCTCGTCAAGGAACTATTCG